CCGGGCTTGCCAAGCAAAGCATTGTGGGAGTTGTAGTTTAAGCAATGCCCAATTCTAACACGCACCCCCGTTTGCCAAAAATTCTGTTTCACCAAATTACAGACCCCAGGACAAAACTCTCGCAATTAAATCGGTATCGGGCTGTGCCGGGTGCCTGTACAGGAAGACGCGAACCACTGTAGCAATTAAATCGGTATCGGGCTGCGCCGGGTGCCTGTACAGGAAGACGCGAACCCTCATGCTTTTGCGCGATTTCTGCTTTCTTGCGATTATTTTACTGTACCATTAAAATGGGATATTTTTCCCCTTCCTTTCCTCCCCCACTTTCTCCCCGGGGCTGCACAGCCATGCGCAAAAACCTGCGCGCAATGAATTACGGCAGCCTTAATAAAAAGGGTGGGATTTGTTTGCAATGGTCCTTAACCTTTAAAATCCAAAATTTGGGGGGGACACCCAAACCCGCCGGAGTCTAGGCGGCAGAAACTACAACTCCCAGGATGCCAAGCGGCCGGGCTCACGCGATCCCTTGCAAAACCCACAAAGGGCTCTTTCGGGTTCCTTGCGCGAGGCGCTCCTCGGCTTTGGCAAAAGGGGAAACTCAGTCGCCGGGAGAGAAGGCGATTTCTCCAGCGCGCAGCGACCCTTTCCAAGCTGAAATTTGACAAGCCAACGGAGGAGGGAAGAAAGACCCAGCCAGGATGATGCCAGTAAGTCTGCCTTTCCTATTTGAGCCCGGGGGCGGGGAGGCTGAAGGGCTTGTTTACCAAACAATTTAAAGTCCAAGGCTCGCCTCCATCGACTTTCTCCACTGTTCCCAACGTTTGAAGCCCAAATCTGGCCTCTTCCCCCCCCCAAAAAAAAAGGACAGGGAGGAGTGGATGTTCTGTTTTGGTTTTTTTCCTAAGGGTGTTCTCTATTTTCCAAGAAGTCTTGGTGAAGAAGCCCTCTTGCTCCTCTCCCCAGTTCCCTTTGGAAAAACCCACCCCACCCCTTGCTTTCGAGTTGGAGCGCATCTTCGTGGGAAAGCGCAGCCTAAGACCAGCCGGATTTGGGTCTGGACGGAAGAGCCCCCAAAACACGTTGAGCCGTTCTGGCCAGGTCCGTCCCAGTTGTCGGGGGGGGGGGTCTTTCCAGCACCAGGACCCTGGCGGGTTTTCCTGATTTGGGTGGTGGTGGTTGGAAGGGCCTTTCCAAAAACAGATGATGGGCGAGGTTTCGGAGGTCCCTTCTCAGAAACACTGGGTGCGATCTGGCCCCTTTCTGCTTCTCCCTGGTCTCCGGAAAAGACTGATACGGTTCGGAGAGTGGAAGAGGCGAAGAAAGGGAGGAAATAGGAGTCATGAGAAAGAGAGGCTGACCTCCGCGAGAGGAGAGGGAAGTACTGGAGAGGCAGCGTGGGGTAGGGGTTAGAGCAGGGCATGGAGACTTGGAAGATAGGAGTCTAAGGGTTGCCCTCCCCTCCTCCCCAAATCCTGAGATTGGTGTCTCTCCCATTCATCCTGGCCTCCCTCGCAGGGGTTTCTCGAAGGTAGAAGAAGGAGAGTGAAAAACAGGTGCACCAGCTACTGGTCCCAGGAGAAACCTACCTGACCCTCCATGTTCAGAGGCAGAGGGCTGCTCTTCAGCGTTCATAGCCTTCATATAGGGTGGCACCTGAAATTCTCCCTTTACAGTGGGAGAGAAGAAAGGGAGGAAAATGAAGCCCTCAGCCATACTCTCCTTCCAAATAGGAGTCATGGGAAAGAGAAGTTGACCTCCGCGAGAGGAGAGGCAGCATGGGGTAGGGGTTAGAAGAGCATGGCATGGAGACTTGGAAGATGGGAGGCTAAGGGTTGGCCTCCCCCCTCCCCAAATCCTGAGATTGGTGTCTCTCCCATTCATCCTGGCCTTCCTCGCAGGGGTTTCCGGAAGGTAGAAGAGGGAAAGTGGAATCCAGGTGCACCACCTGCTCATCCAGGGAGAAACCTACCTGACCCTCCGTGTTCAGAGGCAGAGGGCTGCTGTTCAGCGTTCATAGCCTTCCTATAGGGTGGCACCTGAAATTCTCCCTTTAGGGGCATTTGGGGGTCCAGCGATAGAGCAGAGGGGTGAAAGACAAGACCCCCTTTTTAAAAATGAAACTCCAAAGAAAGGAGGGACAAGTTACAAAAGGGGCCTTCGGGTTATCGGCACCTCCACTTCATCACCGTTTGATTCATGAAACACGGCGGAGCAAATCCATCAAAGCAAAGCGCCTTTTAAAGTCACCAATGAAAACCCTCCGCACCGAATCAGAAGGGAGAAAATGACCCCTGAAAGGAGTCAGTTTCCTTTGTGGGGGTTGAGTGTAAATTTACAAACTGTGCAAGCTTTTGAGCCCTACAGAGCTCTTCCTCAGGCTGCCCCCTAAAAAAAAAAAAAGCGAGGCAGGGGAAGAGAAAGTATTGGAATACAGAAATAAGTGCCTGGCTGACTATGCTAGACTTCCTTGTTTGTCCCTCTCTCTCTATTTTTTTTTGTTGTTGTTGTTTATTAATCATCCAACCAGTTTTAGAACTCCAGACTGTACATCTATTGTGGAATCATGGAGGGCCAGAAAGAGGGATGAGTGGGTTCGAGATCAATCAAGTCAGAACCCTCCCTCGGAGCCAAAAAGAGTGACTGGAAATTCCTGTCTGTTGGGCACGTCATGAGAAGCCAAGTCCCACCAGGAAAGTCAGTCATGCTGGGGAGAGTGGAAGGCAGTGGGAAAAGAGGAAGGCCAGCCAAGCGATGGACGGGCTCCCTAAAGGAAGCCACAGGCTTGAGCTGAGGGCAGAGAACAGAGCAGGGCTCTTGAGGACCGGACACCTTGGAGATGGCTCATTGGTAGGATCTCTTTCACCGGGAAGCCACTTCACGGCCTATCAGAGGAGGCAAGAGGGGATCTGAGTTGAAATCTACCCCACCTGTGGATTTGGGGACTCACTGAGCGCCCCTTTCTCTTCCCAAACTCTTTGGTAGTTGGGATTGGGTGGCCATTGGGTTTGGGGACCCATCACCTGTGCCAAGCACTGTCATTTGATCATCCAGCCCAGCTGGCACATTCGCTGTGTCCTGGCAGCGTCTCTTGCAAACAGCAAGCCCGTGGGTGGTTTTCCATCCGACCCGCCCAGTCTGGCGTAAACAGTATCAGCCAGATACCTGCTTTCATTTCTTAATTTATTTTAAATGTTTTTACCCCGTCTGTCTCCTTTTAAAAAAAGGGTCCCAAGGCAGCTTACATCATTAAAAACACTGCTTAAGAGCCCAAAACAGTAAATGATTCAAATGTACAGTAAAAGAAGAACGTACTGGCCCTTTAGGATGCTTAGGAAAAAAGGGTTAAATCTGAAGAACTTAATGGAATATTTTCTGGTTAGCAAAGTTAAGAGACGAAGGTTGAAGGGGTGATTTCTCTGAGCATGTGCAGAGTGCCTCCAGGACTCTACAGGGATACCAAGAGCCCCATTAAGCAGAGAGGATCTTTCTCGTATTTATTGGGGTTTTCTCTCCAGTGGACAGACCCCAGGGGTGGGTGTCAGTCTTGTCCCTGTGGACACACACACAGCTCCGCTGTCCCCCACCCGGTTATCATTTAGGTGTTTTTGAGCACAAAACCCACCAGCCCCAGCCAGTAGAATCAACATTCCAGAATGCTGGGTGTTGTAGTGCAACATAACCCAGAGGGCACAAAGTAAAAAAAGAACTGGTTGTTGTAGGTTTTTCGGGCTGTTTGGCCATGTTCCCGAGGTTTCTCTTCCTAACGTTTCACCCGTCTCTGTGGCCGGCATCTTCAGAGGACAGGAGTCGGAACTCTGTCTGTGTTCTGGTGTAGTGTGTGGGATTGTTGAGTATTTGTAGCTGTGGGATCAGGGTTTTTTTCTTTTCAGGAGACTGGGTGATTATGGTGATTAGGGTATTACGGGTGTATTGTTCAGATAAGGAGGGATCTGTCACTGTGATTGATGTGTGTCGTTGGCTAGTATTTTGTCTACAGTGACCACCGGTCCTTGGGGCTGGATAAGAGTTCATCCACCTTTTTGCAGGCTGTATTTTTCAGTGCTGGGAGCCAGGCTTTGTAGAGTTTTAGACTTACTTTTTTGTTGAAGAAAGTCTGCTCTATCTTCTACAACAAAGCTGAGGAAGCTTGCCCTCTTAGGATGATGATTATCATCATCATCTCAGAACTGCTCATCTGGAAGGGACAGTAGAGATCATCAAGTTCAGCCCGTGATAAGGAGACCCTGGCGGAAATCAAACTCCCAACCTTTGGCTCTGCGTCCAGAGATCTAAAACGAGCCTGCAACCCATAATCCCCAACTTTAAACATTTCGGCTTTAGGACTGATAGGACATAAAATCGAAGGGGTCTTGAGAGCCTAAGATTCTCCATTTCATTTTATGCTATATACCCTTTTCACACTTTTATATGTCCACCTAAAAATACCATGTTTCCCTGAAAATAAGAGAGGGTCTTATATTAATTTTTGCTCCAAAAATGCATTAGGGCTTATTTTCAGGGGATGTTTTGTTTTATAGTCATGTCATCTGGTTGCTGCACAACAGTGGAGGGCAGGGTTTCACTTAACTAGGGCTTATTTTTTTTTGGGGGGGGGAATAGGTCTTATTTTCAGGGAAACAGTATAATTCTCAGATTGACTAGAAAAACTTCAGCAGCTGAGAAATCATGGCCTGGTGAAAAATGCAGGTAAGAAAAATATATTCTACAGATGCTAAAGGGACACTGAACTTACACTCATTGGAAGGTGGGACATAGGGACCCGAAATGGATCACCTGAGGGGGAGGACACGCATGGCTTGAAAAGAGTTGGGCTTTGAATGGGCAATTTAGAGTCGTTGGCTTTACAAAAGTCCTGCTCCTGATTGGTGGATATAGCTCAGGGGTACTTTCTGCATTAGGAAACTCTGTGTTTTTGCAGTGGGGTGTCTATGGGGAGTGCCATGATAAACACACACACGCACACACACACGCACACGTCCGCAGCCCGGCGGGTAAGAAAACAAGCCCCCTTATCTGCGTAAAATAGAAGCTGTTCGGCCAAACCAGAGAGCTTCTTGAAGGACAGCGAGGGATGAGATGAAACCTTAGCCCCAGAAAAACCAGGCCGTCTGAAAGAGGGCTCTGTTCCTCGGGACGCCCGAGGCCTCCGACCAAGGCTCGGCTGGCTTCACCCTCTTGTCTAGGACCAGCACGAAACATTCCAAGAGCCACCGGGGGAAGGAACAACATCACCTCCTTAACCGATGGGCAGGTGGACTTTGGGTCTCTGCTCCTCCATTTCGTTCTGCTCCCAGTGAGTTTGGGAATCAGAGACTCCAAGGTCTACCTGTACTTGGTTGCTTTATGTGTGTGAAAACTTATTTTCTCCAGGTGCACCCTTTGGTGTGCCTCCTTCGTGCTAGGCCTGAAACGGGTCCGCAGCTGTGAGTAAATAATCATTAGCTAAATTACATGCCTTGATCCCCGTCTTGAATGACAGGAACCTCCGCTGCCTTTTCCAAAGGTTCCTTCCTCTCAGCTCCAACTTCTTCCCAGCTTTTAGTCCGAACGGCCGATGGAGTGGAGGCTGCAGCTGGGAATGTTGCACGAACGCCCCGCCACTCCAGTGTGGCTGGATGTCCAAGCGGCGGGCTGGGGTGGGACTGGGCCCTCCTCCAGGTTTCCCTGGACTACGATTCCCATCATCCATCACTAGAGGCTGCACTGGTTAATCCTGATGGGGGTTGTTGTCGTTCAACACTCCTAGACCACATTGGTAATAAGGATCCATTTCCCAGCACATAAAAGCAGTTGAAAATATCACTTTTCTACGCCGTGTTTCAAAGCCAAAGTGTTTATGCCCAGCCACCCAAACCATCAGCTTCCATTGAAGGGTCGGTCAGCTCTCTGGGGTCGGCTCTCTTCCCACCTCTCTGTTTTCTTTTGGCAGGCATGGTCCTGTCGGTGGTGGTGATCCTCCTGCTGGCTCTTCTCTATGAAGCCATCAAGGTAGCCAAAGCGAAGGTGATCCTGCGGATGATGCCGGCTTTGGTTCCCAGCGTTAGCCAGGAGACCTTAAGAGAGCCGGAGCAGGCCTCCATCAACGCAGGCCTGGAGCAGCCGGCCGGCACCTCGAAGAAGTAAGGAAAAGAGGGGAAAAGGCTGGAAAGGGGAAATGACGCCCTTCCCCAACCTCTCCCGGGGTCAAGAGCCAGGGGTTTTCTCTGGTTCCGCCACAGGGTGCCAATTCATTGCCATCCATGCCAGGGAAAGAGCTGAAAGGCACCATGTTAGCATTCCAATCAGACCCATTTGGAATTTGCTATTTTCACTGGTTCAGATAATAAAATGTTGGTTTTTTAAGATGGTAAGTGGGAGGAGGCACACGATGTAACACAAAGGAAAGACCAAAGCAGGGCAGGAGAGGAGGCATCCAGCTACAGTGGTGCCTCGTTTGACGAGGATACAGGCATCCAGCTACAGTGGTGCCTCGCTTGACGAGGATAATCCGTTCCAGCGAAATTGCTGTAAAGTGAAATCCTTGTCAAGAGAAATAAAAAAGCCCATTGAAATGCATTGAAAACCGGTTCGATGCGTTCCAATGGGCTAAATACCTCATCGTACAGCGAAGATCCTTCATAGGGCGGCCATTTTCTGGTGCCTGTAAAGCGAAAAATCCATCCTAAAAACAGCAGGGAGCCATTTTGCACAGTGGGCGGCCATTTTTACAGCCGCTGATCAGCTGTTTTAAAAACATTGTTAGGCGAAAAATCAGTTCCCGAAGCAGGGAACCGATCATCGGTAAGCGAATTTTCCCCCTTAAAACATCGTTTTGCTATCACAAAAACCTCATCGTCAAGCGGATTTGTCGTTTAATGAGGCAATCGTTGAGCAAGGCACCACTGTACTTGATTATAGGCTTAGGATCGTGGTATGATGGTGCTTCAGCAGGCGTTTGTGTCTTTGATTTTGGTTGGGTTTTCCTTTGAACGACCTACTGGCCCCTACATGACACTCGCCTGGAGCAAACGACAGGCAACAAAGGGCAGAGACAGCTAGGCCCTGCTCCAGGTGAGCAAAAGGTCACCATTTGTTTTTTTTCTTGGGCGGAAACTCCCAGAATTCTGCTTGGGAGATTCTTCTGGGAATTGGAGTCGAAACACCTCTACGGGTGGGCAACTCAAGGTCCCGGACCTCTTTAGCACATAGTTATCTCTTCTTCTTCTTCCCCCCTTTTTCCAAAAGCCCTTTCCTGTGGCACGTGGCTCAGACCCTGCTCCACATAACCCACGTCGTCCTCGGCTACCTGGTGATGCTCGCCGTGATGTCTTACAACGCGTGGGTCTTCTTGGGTGCGATCGTCGGCTCCACGGTCGGGTACTATGTCGCCTACCCCTTCCTCAGCATCCAATAGAACTCCAGAGACGGCTTAGCGGAGGGAATGCAAACTGGATGTTACGTCAGGATGGGAAGGGGGAAGACTCGGTGGGGCCTGGAAGTGGCCTGCGGTGCTTCTTTGGGGAACCTCCTTTCTCACCTCCGTAGGCAAAAGAATGAGACTTTCCCATGCATTCTTTTTTAGAACAGAAACTTTGCTTCTACTGTTGTTTGCTTTTTAAACGCGATTCCCAAAGTGCCCTTCAGAACAGGATTTGTGAAGACAGGGTCTGGGCAGGACCTGTCGGTAAGGAAGGTTCCCCTTGCTACACCTTGGCTTTACCTCCTCTTGAGTTTCAGAATCTCAGGTCCAGTGGAATTGGGGCTCAAGGCAGGCAATCTCCTGAACTTTTTGGAATCACTGCCATGTGCAATTGGGTGGGGGAGATCCCAGGATCCCTGGTCTTAGAATCATAGAATAGTGAAGTTGGAAGGGGTCTCTAAGGTTATCACTTCCAACACACACACCCTTCTCGATGGAGTAATACAGATCAAAGCAGATCTGCCTGGTGGTTGTCTCAGTTTCTCTCGAAGGCCTCACCACCTCTCAAGGTCATGGGCTCTAACGCTTGGGAATGTTTCCCTGAAATTCAGCCTAAATCTGGCTTCTTGCAACTTGAGTCCATTGTTGGCTGGATTCAAGGAGGTCCCGCAGTGAGTTGCAAAGGACTCTGCAGCAGGTTGAGCATCATCAGCATCACCTCCAGGCTGATGAAGGCCTCCCAGTCGGCTTGGAATGGAAGACTGGGCATAATCCAGACAGACAAGAACACCCCGGGAGGTGTCGAGGTGGCCAGTGGGGTGAGAAAGCCAGGTTGGTGAGACAGGCGTTCGAGTGACCAATCTGCCATGGTGTAAGAGAGAAAGGATGATTTAAGAGGGAAATGCACTAAAAATGTAGAGGTGTGCCAAATTCTACTCTCTCTGTGTTGGGGACTTTCTTAAACTTAGGGTTAACCACTATTAGGAATTTTAAAAAAAATACTATTTAAAAAAGTAATAAAATAACCCATGAGAACTTCTTAGAAAAATATGTGATAGTCGTGTTTTCACAAAACCTTTTTGGGTCATACTCACTACTAACGGTGTCTAAGCTCTAATAAATAATAATTGTGTGTTTTCAAGTCAGTTCTGAATTTAGGTTGACCCTTTCCGGTTGACCCCATGAGAATATAAGGTGGCAAAACTTGGTACGCATGCCAAGTTCTGTGTGTCAAAGGAGAAGACAGCCTCCATCTGCCTGCCCAATAATCAGTCTCTTGGCCAGAAGCAAATCCTGCCTTGTCCAGGGGAAGATACTGGGGAAGATGGGGCATCCTATGGCCATCCAGCTCAGAAAGGACAGGCATATCATCCTGTGGAGGGCAAATCAGAAGAACCTAAGAAGAGCCCTGCTGGATCAAGCCAAGGGCCCATCTAGTCCGGCTTCCTGGAGCTCACTGTGGCCCCACCAGTTGCCTCTCGGAGCACACGAGACAATGAGAGACCGGTCGCCTGATCCTCCTCTTCCCCTCCATCTGGCATTGGGAGGGACCTGCCTTCAAAGCCTGGAGATGATACTTTTGTCTTAAACGTTTGGTATAAGATTTGCAATAAACCATTTGGGGAGGGGGAAAAAAAGGAAAGGCAGGCTTGGCTTCTCACGATGGAGGCACTTTGAGAAAGAGAGCAGCAGAAAGCCACGATGGAGGCACATTGAGAAAGAGAGCAGCAGCAGAAAGCTGCCTAAGAGGCACCCAATTCTGAGAGAAATTCTCAAAAATATTTCAGAGGCTGACGGAACCGGCCGTCTAGTGAGTCCAGCAGAAACGGTTTGACAAGGTGGCCGCCTCGGATCACGGCCGGTATTTCTTCGCGAGGCTTTCCTCCGACCAACCGCCGGGACGGCTCAACCCTATTTGCAGCCAGCCTTTCGGCGTGGAGGAGGCCCCTTGGCTGTCAGCCGGCCGGCCGGCCCCTCTCCCACCTGCCATGCTCTCCTTCGATGGCTCCCTGCCAGGGGTCCCCAGGTGTTCTTGGACTACAACTCCCAGAAGGCTCAGGCAGGTGTGGGTCTATGTTTGCATGCGTGCATATTCTGTTCCACACCTGCAATCCAAAGACGTAGCGTTTTCCACCTTAATGGGGAGCCTTGTGGGGACTCTCCAGGTATCCCTGGACTTCAATTCCCATCATTCCCGGGCAACGTGAGACCATGGGGAAGATGGGCATCTGACTCTAACCAGTTCTGGAAAGCTGCACATCTGAAAGCCGTCAAGTTCTCCATTTCAGGACCTGAGCTTCCAACTTCCGATGAGTGTTAAAACAAAAGGTTCCTTGTGTCCCCTGAGCATGTGCAGAAGATATTTCTCTTAGTATTCAACGGCCATAAAGATTGTCCCTTCCAACCAAGACTGAGGGCTATTTCATCCCTTTCCTTAGCTTGGCCGTGGGATGTGTCTCTCTATGGGGAGCACTTTTTTTACCAGCCACCCCCCCCGACCAGGTGCCTTCCAGATGTTTTTGGGCTCGGCTTGGCCGTGGGGTGTGTCTCTCTATGGGGAGGCAGTGAATCCCACCCTTGTAAAGGGTGCACTTTTTACCAGCCACCCCCCAACCAGGTGCCTTCCAGATGTTTTTGGGGTCCCACATCCATCTGCCCCGGCCAGCAGGGGTAATGGCTGTGAATGCCAGGAGCCAAAGATCCAGAGGAAGCCACCCTTTTTGGGGGGGAGGGTAGTGTCTCTGGAAGAGCTCTTTTGATCAACAGCTCTTTCCAAACCCCATCATCCCCAGACAACATGGCAGTGGAATTTAGGAGCAGGAGTCCCACCAATATCCATGGGTTTCCCTCCTCCAGTCCAGGTGCGGAAGCCAGAGAGCAGCCAGGTGTGCACAGCCAGGGGCGTTGCTCCTTCCCCTGGTCCTTCTTCCTCCTCCTCCTTCCCGCGTTGCTCCCTGGTCCTTCTTCCTCCTCCTCCTTCCCTCCCGATGGCGTGCTGGGGAGCGGTGCAACCACCGTTGCTCAGGTGAACTAGCGATGCTTGGGGCGCTCCGCCAGATGCCCCACCTCCAGTTGTGCAGACTGACAATTGAACCCCTGCTCCAGCCAGTTCGCTTTGGTGGTTGTCTGGAACCTGCCGCCCACTCCGACCGAGGTGATGGAGAGGAAGGCGCAGATGCGGCAACGAACGAGGGCCGCCCAGGGACAGCCGGTCCCCTATGTATTGCTGGCAGGACCATGGAGGGACTGCGCTCTGCTCCTCTGGTGGGTGCTGCTGCCCGCAGCCATGGCCGTGAGCTTGGCCTTCACTCTGGTGGTGAAGCATTGATACCCGCTCCACCCCTTAATCTCAGGCGGCATCATGCCTTGGGCCAGTCCATCGGCCACCCTCCTCCATCCCAGGTGCAGAAGCCAGAGAGCAGCCAGGTGTGCACATCCAGGGGCGGGGCTTAAATGAAGGCACGCACACCCAAGGCCGAAGTGTTCACCGTTGCTCTGAGCAACCAGCGATGCTCGGGATGCACCACCAGATGCCCCACCTCCAGCCTCCTTACTCTCCTTTCCCCTGGTCCACCTTCCTCCTCCTCTTCCTCCTCTTCCTCCTCTTCCTCCTCCCCCCCTCCTCTTGGCTCTCCTTTCCCTGGTCCTTCTTCTTCCCCTTCCTCCTCCTCTTCCTCCTCCTCCTCGCCCCCTTCTCTCCCGATGGCGTGCTGGAGAGTGGTGTGGAACCTGCCGCCCGCCCCGGCCGAGGTGGAGATGCTGGCGGCGGCGAACGAGGTGGCCACCCAGGGACAGCTGGTCCCTTACGTGTTGCTGGCGGGACCCTGGAAGGACCGCGCTCTGCTGCTCCGGCGGCTGTTGATGCCGGCAACCGTGACCTTGGCCTTCACTCTGGTGGCCGTGGCAGTGGCCTTCTGGGTGCTGATGGAGGACTGGCACGGGTTCCCCCATGAGCCCTGGCCTCCCCTGTGCCTCTTCCGGCCCCGCATCCTCCTCCAGCTCAGCTGGCCACGGCCCGTCACCCTCCCTCCTCTCCAGACCACGGCTTCTTGTGTCTCTTGGAGGCCTCCCCATCCTGAGAGGTAAGAAAGGGCACAATACCTTCCCCCCCCACAGAGCAGTGCCCCTCTCCAGCCTCTTGGCCCCTGAGAGAGGCCACCAGAAGCACTGGTCTCCTGTGGGGACCCCATCAGCCTGGGCTCCCTGGGGGCCCCCAAAGTGCCCCTTCCTGCTGAATTCTTGCCCCCCACCTCTCTCCAAGGGGAGGGCAGATCCAGGGTTGAGCCTGGAGAAGGAGCACCAAGGGGGTGTGAGGGGGGAGGATGTGCTGGCTGGGAGGGGCTCCTCTTTCTGGCCGGTGCCCCTACCCCCCGAGCCCCAACCAACCTCCACCATGAAGGGTCACGGGGAACGCACACTCCTATAGCAAAGTCCACCCCACGGTGGCCAGAGAACCAACTGGGAAGCCGAGGGGCCTTTAGACCTCTGCCCCCCTCTACATGGCCAAGACCTCTCTTCTTTCCCCCCCCCCAACACAGGCATCTGCAGGCCACCCCTTGAGAAAAGGGGGCAGCAGGCAAAGTCTCAGGGCAAAGGCTTGGAGGAGACCCCACCCAGAGGGAAGGTCCCCTTTTTCTGCAGGGAGAAGTAAAAAGGGGCAGCCAGGAAGCTCCCACCAGGTGAGTTGCCCCTTTTTCCAGAGAAAAGCTCCTTGGCCTCGTCTGGGGGGGATATATGGGGTGGCGCTGGCTGCTCTCTGTCCCCTCTGGACCCACAACTTGCTTTCCTCCCCCAGGCAGGTCATCCTTCCTCCAGACCCTTGCCTGTGGGGCTATGGATGGGGAGGGGACATATGGGCCTGGGTGGGGGCCAAGGGACTCCTGGGCTCGTCTGATTTGACCTGATGGTTGTTCTCACCCCATGTCCTTGAGCCCTTTCTCTCTGGCCAGTCTGCTTATTATCCCCGTCTCACCTGCCTCCTTTCCTCCTGCCCTTCAGAATCCTCTGCCCATGTCTTCTGCCCGCTTTCCTCCTGCCCTTCAGAATCCCCTCCCCGTGTCTCCTGCCCCCTTTCCTCCTGCACCTACAAGTCCTCCCCGGGTGTCTTCCACTCTAATCCGTCCTGCCCCAACCCTCCAGCCTCGCTGTACCAAAAGTTGAAGCTTGGGGGAAGGCATGAGCTCCCCTTCCATCAACCCCCAGAAGATCCAGCCCAGGTGAGGGCGGACAGTTGGTCTCGAGGAAGACCAAAACGAAGACACCAAGTGGAAGAAAGCAGAGGCCAGTCAAGGAGCATCGGTCTCAAGGGAGGACCAAAACGAAGACACCAGGTGGAAGAAAGCAGAGGCCAGTCAAGGAGCATCCCCCATGAAAGGGGCAAGGGGTGAAAGGAAGAAGGCGAAGCTGAGCAACCGGCAGGAACGTTCCAGGAGGAGAAGGGAAGGGAAAAGGCCTTGAGCTTTGGAGACCGACTGCGAGGAAGAACGGAAGGCAACC